CTTTTGTCCCCAGTTTCTCACTCTGTGTTGCTGGTTGGAACATCAGCCCATTTCTGCTGGTTAATGGCTTTTCTCCTGCGGGAGCAGCTCTCGCTTGCCAGTGCAGCTGCCCCTGCTCGAGGACTCTCACTCTGTTCTCCTGGCACAGTAGCGGGTGCCACTGTCAAAAGCATGCAGTTTTCAGCTCTGCCTAGGAGATATAGCCTGTTTCTGCAGAGTCAGCCTCCAGGTTCAAGGCAAAGTTGCCTCGGAGGCCCTCCACTGCTCGGAACCTCTGAGAAACAACCTTTCGTTGCCCATGACCTTGGCAAACTTCTCTAGACTTTCTGTTCAGCTTCCGATTTTACTCTATTTTTCGTTATCTACTCATTTCCCCTTTCTTTCTAAGCCATCTCCTCCTCAGGGATCAATTATTTCTGCCTTTGTTCTGTTTTGTTTTCTGTTAAAAATTTTTGGAGTATATTGCCTAGACAGTTAAAAAATCACTAATAACTTAAACAGGTCGTCTCTGTAGTAAAAATAAAAAGGAGGTATGGAAGCAATCAAAGATGGGAGCACTGGAGGTAGGAATGAGAAAACTGTGCCACCATTTTGATGTTGCTGCGTTTAGTTGTATGACCCTGGGCAACTCAACTTTATGGATTTACGTCTCTATTTGTAAAATGACCTTTACTGTCCATCCTTGTTAAGGATCCTATGATTTTAAAGACTTAAAATGCAAAATAAATTTTGTGAAGCCAACTATACCTTCTTCAGTTAAAACTAAAAGGTAGGCTGAGTCAGAGAAAGAATTCTTTTATGATTGGGGCATGTTCTTTATTCCCAAGTGTAGGTATTTGCCATTAATAAAAATACATGTTTCTTGATCTATGTGTACAAATATTACCACAGCAATGCTATATGGTAATCATAAAATTCCTGTGATATGCAAATACTTATGTGTCCCAGGAGATCGTAGGTTATGGGGTTGGCTGGTGTAGCATTGGCTTGGCTTAGCCGGTTCAGTTCTACACCATGATCTTCTCATCTTGTTCTTGGGATTATCATGCTAGTGTGAAAATGTCTCACAGCAATACAAAAACAAGAGTATAATTCCAACATACATTCAGTTTTCCAAGCTTGAGTTAGTCATGCCATGATATGCCATTGATCAAAAGAAGTCACAGGACCAAGATCATAATCAAAGTGTAATAACGGTACAAGTAGGTGAGAAAATTTTTGTGTCTGAATAACAATGTCATGTACGACAGAATGATTCTATATAAATTCCTCTTAGTGAAAATGAAGGCAGTGGTGAAGACGTGTATACTACAAAGGTAAAAATATTGATATTTCTGTAGAACATAATTGTGTCAAAACACACACTAACACACACACACACACACACACACACACACACACACACACACGTATTTGGAGATAGGGTGTTAATATAGCCCAGGCTAGAACCAATCTCTATGTAGTAAAAGCTCACCTTGAATACCTGATCTTTTGCCTTCCCCTTCTGATTACTTGAACTACAGGTAAGAGCACCACTACTGGCTCTGAGTCTATTACTGATGTGGGATTCCCCACTGTATGCTGTGAATGTGTTTTACTACCTCTGGTTACTAAAAGAAGCTCCTTCGGCTTATAGCAGGAAGAATACAGTCAGGCTGGAAGAGATATATAGAGAGAGTAGGCAGAGTCAAAGAGAGACACCATATAGCTGCCTCAGGAGACAGATACCAGACAGATGAAACCTTACTGGTAGGCCACATCATGTAGCGGTACACAGATTAATAGAAATGGGTTAATTTAAGATATAAGAATTAAGCAGGAATATGCCTAAGCTATTGTAATAAATATAGTTTCTGAGCGATTGTTTTGGCTCTGAGTGGCCAGGAAATGAACAGTCTCTGCCCACATGACAAGAGAATGGAGATGCTGTTTGAGGCTGGCTGTAGGGTTTCGTTGGTACCCACTTTAAGGTGCATCTGATACCTTCATTTTGCTCGAACAAGGGATGTCAAGCCACACTACCTAAAAGATGCCTTAGCCCCTCTACTTTGTAGTTCTGTGAAAAGTTCCTCTGAGTCACTGACTGAACCAGCAGATAAATGACTGATTTTCTAGTCAAATGGGAGATGAATTGCAAATGGTGACCAGAACAAGCCCAAAAAAAGACCAAATAAAGCTCTTCAAAAGAAGCCAATGTAAAAACACCAGCACACCCGTCACAGACTTAAAAATGACATACTTACATTGTACTGTAGAATCATCTCTCCCTTTACTAAAACTATTTGTGTCTCCAAATCTGCCATTTTTTTATCTTGCTGTTTCTGCTTGTATTCATGTCTCCAAATAAAACAACAAACTAAATCCATAATAAAATGTAAATATATCAGTGATGATTAAGTTGTTTAAATAAAAATAATTATCTCATTAAACAACAGCTATGTGTATGAGGCAAGTCTTTGTTACTTGGGAACCAAGGAGAAGTTGAGAATAATTAAAGGAGGCAAACTTTAATTTATTTTTCCATTTGTTGAGCTGTGTTAGTTATCTACTGCTATGTGGTAAATTATACTGAAATTTGGTGGTATTAAACAAGCATTTATTCCTCTTATAGTGCCAGCAGGTCATAAATTAAAAAAAAAAAGCATAGCTTGGTACTGTGCCTCTCATGAGCTACAGCATCAGCTGAAGTTGCAGTCATTTGAAGCCATGGCTAGGGAATCTGGTACCAGGGTGGTGGCTTGCTTGCAGGGCTGGTGATTTAGTTGGTGGATCCTGCTAACAGAAGCCCTGGGGCAGGTGGGTGTCAGCAGGGTTGCTTGCATATCATCATGTATGTCACCATGACATGAGACTGGGCTTCCTCCAGAGACAGTGATTATAATGAGGAGAAGGTTAGGGTTACAGTGTATTTGATGATCTAGTCTTGGAAGCCATACCTTGGCTCTTCTGTGGTATCTTATTGTCTAGACCAGTTAGACTGGTCAATAACTCTCAGGATTATGCAACACGGTGACAATGAATGCAATTATGCCACTCTGTTTCACCCTGAGTGCTTCTCTTCAAGACTGGTTTAGACAAGCAGTTGTACTCAGTGTTGGAGGGGATGAAGAGGTGGCCAACCTTTTGACATAGTGACACGTGACACTGTGATCTACAACTGAGTTCATTTGGTCACATTCCTAGCTATCCTGGGATGAATACAGCATATGGGTCACAAGTTGATCATGCCCAAATGGGACAGGGCCATACAAGCGTCAAGTATCTGAAAGAGTCTGGTCTGTGAACTTGCAATGGTTCTGTAGTTGTTATCTTTGTCTGACCATGTACTGATGCAGGCACCTCACTCCTCAGAGAGGAAGGCTTAATGGGCCAGGGGTGGCATCAGATAGTATTAGAAAACACAAACTTTGAAGCTGTTTTCATGTGCAGTTAGGGATAAGCACATTGCCAGTGAACAGAATGGCTCTGCTGGGGACTAAAGTCCATTCAGTATTTCCCATGATCCTGTCTGCCAACATCTGTTCTTCCTTCCTGGGGTAAGGGGTGTGGGAGAGTTTGAGGTGACAAGGAAGAGCTGTAATTTATTGCGCTGCAAAGTGTTGCCGAACACAGTGTTTGTCTGATTAACAAGACTGTTTTCCTCTTCATTTGTAAATTCTGCTGGAAGTGTTTCGAAAAAAGTCGGCAGGAATGGGGTCAATCTGTTACTTCCAACCCACTCTATCTGTTATAAAACCGGTCAAAGCAGTGGGCTGGAAGAACAGGGAAGTCTCCAGTTGGACTGCCTGTAGACTTAATGTAAGTGTCTCACGACAGTCTGGTGCATGTGTGCATGTGTGCATGTGTGTACTTGGGCACACATACACTGACAGTCAGAACTGAGGATAAAACCACCCAGCCCTAGGAATCAGTGGATTTCATTCATATCTAGAAAGCAACAGGTTTCTTGGCTACGTATCTTCTTACTCTTTCTCCATTCTAGTGCATGTGGCTGGCACTTGGGTTGAGCAGGATGAAGGGAAAGGGCTAGGGAGTACTGGGAATGCAGTCCTTGTACAGGGTGATGTATGTTCCTCCAGTGGAAAAGATGGGCAGATTTCAGGACGAAGACCTTTCACAAACATTTGGGGTTACTATGATAATGTTCACATCTTTGTCTTAGAATATTCTCAGGGAACGGGACAAAAGTCAGAGAAGTTCACAATTTTGGCAACTGGTTTCGGAGGATGGAAACAATCGAGAAGATTTTGTGTGGGAATGTTTACAGTTTGATGGTAAAATGGTCTCCACAGGCTCATGCTTATACAATTGGTCCTCAGCTGCGGACAGTGTCCAAAGGTCATGGAACCTTTTGGACCTGGGATCTGGCTGGCAGATATAAAGCGAGGGTGGGGGGATTGAGGGGTTCCAGGTTGGCTGTTTCCAGCCCAAGCTCTGTTTTCTGCCAGTGCCGTTAACAAGCAGCTGCCACATACTCCTGTCACCTGATGTTCCCTTTGTGATGGCCTGCATCCCTCAGACCGTAAGCTGGCAGAGCTCCTCTTTTGCTGAATTGCTTACTCTCAGGACACCGTAGCAAAAACTTTAACCAATACGCTGGAAATCACTGTCCTCCCCCAATAGAGCACTGAGATACAAAATAGAAAGAATGTACTTTTAAAAATGACAGCAGCCTATGTGCACTTCTTACATAGGACAGGGAGTCTTTAGACTTTGCACTGGGTGTAAACATTGCTTCATCCTTGGACTCAGTGGCACCCAACCTTCCTAATGCTTAGACCCTTTGACACAGTCCCTCATGTTGTGGTGACTCCAACCATAAAACTATTTCCATTGCTACTGCATAACTGTCATTTTTCTGCGATCATGAATAGTAATGTAAATATTTTTTGGAGGTAGAGGGGTCGAGACCCACAGGTTGAGAACCACCGCTATAACTCGTATTTACATCTCAAGTGTGTGCAGATGAAAGAGGGCAAGGTGTTGGGAAAGCAGTTTGTTTATTTCCCACAGTCATTTGAGCTGCAGCCGAGGCTCAGCTGGCTGGTGATGACAGTAATACAGAACAATATCTAGCTTTCAATAGGATGGCAGAAACGCTCTACTGCATGGCAAACCTCAGAAGCTCAGAGTGTCTCCATCTCATGACAGGGCAGGTCATGTCCAGTGGACTCTTGAATGCACGTGTACTTGATGGGAGGCGGTGGTGGCTTGAAAGGTGGGGGTCTTTCCATGCTAAGGAGAAAACATTTCTCTTTCAGTGCTGAGAATGTGGGGTGGTGTTTCTTAAACTTAGGGATATACTGATGGGTGAGGAAGAGATACACTCTTATCTTATTTAGAATTTTTGACAGCTTAACTCTGCAAATGATCTTACCATTAATTAATAGGAATATGTATGCATGCATGTGTGTGTGTGAATGTATGTATACGCATATATGATTAATGTGGTATTTTATAGTTTGCAATGTGATTTTGATCCTGGCATCACTTATTTTGTGTAAGAGATATATATAACATTCACATATATTTATATATACAGTATTATTATACTATATATAATAACTGTGATTATTATAATCACTGTTTGACAGTTTGAGGCATAGAGGTTTTAAGTCACTTGCTTAAGGAAAGCAGGCCAGCAAAAGAAGTCTTGTAATGAGATCCCATAATCTCCATGGCAACTGCCTCCTAATGGAAGGAACTTTACTCTTACATGGGTAGAACATCCCTCCAGAGACAGAAACATAAAATTCAAGGACTTTTTGAAAGAGCAACTTTGCTGACTCTACCCTCAATTTTTATGCAGACACTCATGTACATGGTGAGGATCTGGTACAAGCAGGAAGCAAGGTATTCCTTACTCCTGGGTTGGTTGGCTGGATAATGCACGCTTGACATTGTCTTTGTGCAAAGCCCTATTTCATGTTAGCACAATGCATCTCTGTCTTACGTGCACCAAGCATCCAGGTTCATGAGGGATTTTGTTGTGCCAATGCTCAAGACATTTTGATAGCAGGAAACAGAGACATCTCTGTGAGAATTTTTGTGTCTATGTTCTGGCAATTAATAGCATCTCAATTTAGACAAAGAATGAGTTAAAAGAGTGGGGAGGGAAAGAGAGAGGGGAGAGAGAAAGAGAATATTTTGTTTACTTTTATCTTTACATAATACAGATATTTAAGGAGAGAATAATTGAAAACTCAGTTTTTTGTACTTCCATTTATATTAATATAAATACCACTAACTTAAAAAAATTATGTTTATTTGTGTGTATGTCAGGTATGAGAGAAAGTATCCTCAGATACTAGGAGACACAATTAAAACAACTGTTACTTGAGGTTGTGAGCTGTTGGATACAGGTGCTGGGAACTAAGCCTCGGTTCTCTGCAAGAGCAGCAAGGGTTCTTAAGCATTGAGCCATCTTTCAAGTTCCATAATCTGTAATTATTACCTTGCTTGTAAATGTTTAAAAATATGCCAAAATGTAGATTTGAGTCTAAGAAACTTGTACTTTTTTTTCAAAAATATTATGAATTTGTTAAGGTAATATAGTGTCCAAGATCCAGTCCTTGGATAAAAAAACCAGAATATTGCTTTTGTTTTTTCATTAACATGAAATATTTGCTGCTCATAGTTATAAAACAGGAGCATTCACTTTTGACATGGTTACATCATCTTCCCCATCTTCAAATGTATTGGGCCACATTCACAGCTTTTCTGGGATGGATGTGGTAGGTAGGATGTCTGCTGGGCCTTCCTATCGCAGTCTTAAGGGATCTTCTGGGAAGAGGATGCCCTGCAGTGATGACTGTTGCATTAGAGATAGCGAACACACGGTGATTGGCACTGTGTATCCTGTGATCACAGCCTGGTCCAGGCTCATGCTCCATCACTGAATTAGAAAAAGGGGGTTTACCTTTACATCTCCATGAGATTGCTGCGTAGAGAATTCAGGAAAATAAAGTACCTCTTTCCCCCTCTGTGAAAAAAGGGAAAGGGTGGGAGAAGCCCTCTCTGATGGAGAGCAACTGGAAAGTTCTTTAAAATCACTTCTCTTACTCAATTTCACACTTGAGCATCGGGGCCCAGCTGATCCCAGTCAGGTCAAAAATTCAGGAAAATGAAAAAAATAATGAAGATTAAAAGAAGACAGTCAGTTTTAGCTTCATGGTGAGGTGGGCTCAGTTCTCGTTTCATGCCTACTGACTTGTGCACAACGTCTAATGTTCCTCCTGAGCGAGCTAGTGCAGACAGGGGGACTGAATCAGGATCTCTGTGTTGAGCCTTCACTGAATGATCCTGGGAAATTCTTCTCTGAGCTATTAGAAGCCTGGATTGCTCATTCAATTGTGAGATGAATGCAGTGTAGTCTTTATATCAAGTAAATATTTTACAATGGAAAATGTAGATGTCTCTACATGTCTCAAAATACTCACATTTCTTTTTGATACTGACACCATTTTCTTACTCCTAGCATGAACAATATTGCACAGAAAAGGAGCAAAGCTGCTACAACCACAGGCCAAGACATTCCATCTCTGGGCTTATTAACAGTGATACCTGCAGAAGAGCAGAAAAAGATGAAAGTTATTGCTAAATGTTGGCATTGGGGAAAACAGGGATTTCTGTAGTTCACTGTAGCCTGGTGGTAGAATGCTAGCTCAGCATGCGTGAAGTGTTTTGTGTGATCCTTGATGTCACAAAACATTAACTTTTTATATGGAGGAATGCTGTAGGATAATGCTCTTGTGCACTGTAAAGATTTGTCACTCATGTTGGTTTAATAAAATGCTGATTGGCCAGTGGCCAGGCAGGGAGTATAGGCAGGGCAACCAGACCAGGAGAATTCTGGGAAGAGGAAAAGCAGAGAGTAAATCACCAGCCAGATACAAAGGAAGCAAGAAGAGAATGCTTCACTGAAAAAAGGTACCAAGCCATGCGGCTAAATATAGACAAAAATTATGAGTTAACATAAACTGTAAGAGCTGTTAGTAATAAGCCCAAGCTAATAGGTCAAACAGTTTATAATTAATATAAGTCTCTGTGTGTTTCTGTGGTAGTGAACAGTTGAGGGACTGTGGAGACAAAAACTTCTGTCTACAGAAGAGACATGTTTTTCCCAAGATGTTCACTGACTATGACCATATGTTCTTTTGTATATGAGATGACAACTTGATAGTTGATTAAGTATCCTGTCAGCAATTTTCTATGACTACAAGAACATATATGTATATGTGTATGTCATAAACAGATATCATATATCCCATGTATTATAAATGGTGCATTCTTATATATGATTCTGTTTCAGGCCTCTTAGAGCCCACTTGAGTTATTTTCATAGTAATGTATAGAGATACATCTCATTCTGTCCCATCCCTGGTTAATTCTACAGTACTGTAGTTAATTTAATTTGTTTCATAATGTTAGATGATCAAATTATTTCAAGCTTTTCTTTTTCTTCTAACGATACTTGAGCAAAATGTCATAGCCATTCAGTTTACTGTTTTTGAGACAGGGTCTCATGTAGTCTAGGTTTCCTGAAAGTCACTATGTAGCTGAGAATGACTTTGAACTTCTGATTCTCCTGCCTTTACCCCCTGAGTGGAAGATTGTAGATTTGCCTTCCATTCTTATGAGGCTTTGAAGATTAAACCAAAGGTTTACTGCATGCGGGTTAAGTACTCTACCAACAATTCTCCAGACATCATTCATTCATTCATTTGTTCATTTATTCAGTGAGTCAGACTCAGAACCCTGCATATACTTAGGCAAAGATTCTGCCATACCTTAAGAAATTCATATTTTTCTGAAAAAAGTTCAAGTTTCTTGGTCTCAAATCCACCTTTTGATATATTTCTAAGCCTCCATTGAAGCATTCACAAAAAATGTAATGAGAATTACAGATCATGGGGCTGGAAAGATGGCTTAGTGCTTAGGAGCACTGTGTGCTCTTGTAGAGGATCCAGGTTCAGTTCCCAGGCCCTGCGTCAAGTAACTCACAATCTCAATTAACAGTAGCTCTCTAAGGGGTCAGACTGCCTCTTCTGATGTTTGGGGGCACCTGCACTCATACTTTAGCCACAGTTAATATTATTTTGTGAAAATAATACTTAGTATTAATTTAGATAATAAAAATTATCTAGTTTGTTTGTTTTGTCCTGACTATTTCAATTTGGGTGATAAATTACTTGTGGGTGGTGATAAAGTTTATGTTTCTTTTGTTTCCTAGTTTTGATTATTGATTTTTATGTAGTAAAGTTTCAAAAAATAAGAATGAAAGGACTGACTGAAAATATTAGTTTCACGAGGTTGGGGCTGTAGGTCAGTGCTAGAGTAGTTAACTGATACACATGGAGCCCTGAGTTCATCACTAAAAAATTAGTGTTATCAATATTTTGCATGTTTACATAATTTTGACTGCAATCTCATGCTATTGCCATGTGTATCAGTATGATTAAATCTAGAGGCTCATCCTTTTTAGACAGCACACATTTTGGATCTTCCTGATGGCCGCTCCCATCACAACCTGCTATAGGAGACACTGAAGGTATGATTGAAGCTCATGATGTTCTATTCATAGTTACATACTGCTTTGTTTCTACAAAGGCTAGAGATTTCATAGCATAGACTTGTTGGGTAGCATGAGAAAAAAAAAAGAGAACCATCATACTTACCCTCGAGCTGAGTTCAATTCATCAAGTCAAAACTTACTAAGCTATAGCTGGAAATTATATAAGAGCCAATATTTCACAACCAGGATTTTAGAAAACAAAAGAAGAAAAGGTTTAAAATCAAGGTGGGTGAATCACCATTTGAACATAGTTTGCATAGTGGAAATTTGACCTTCCAATCTCCCTGAGCTAGGAAGCCAGGACGAAGCTATCGGTTAGAACTTTGTCTTCAGCTCTTTTTCCCCACGATGCACGTGGGATGATACTGTAGTGATGGGCAGTTGTATGGCCACCCATATGGAACGCGGTGTGGCTCTCAGGTCAGCTGAGCATGCTCCGCACCATGGGAAATTACTGACTATTCCTACGACTTACTAACCAGGATCTCTGTGAAGGACAAACTCCACTGAGTCCCTTGCTCTTTCAAGATGTAGAACAAAAAACTGCATTTTGCACTGACATAATTATTATTAGTTGAGCTGCAGGAGTACTCTTTATTACAACAATCTTTCTTGATTCAAATAATGTTTTCACAAGCCTGCGATGTTTCTTCTACTTTTCAGCTGGCTGATTCTTATTCCATTTTATTCTTTCAGATTTTAATTTAAAATATAAGCACCTCATCACATTTCCTATTCTGCAGTTGAAATCAGGTCTTTCTCTGGATTCTGAGAGCACTTTATCATAATTCTTGTCACAAACAAGTTCAGTTGTCTGTTTACTTCTTTTTCACGTGTCATCTTCAATGGACCATAATCTTTAGGATGCCAGTGTCCCTGTATACCCAACATGTGTCAGAGTGTCTGGAAAGGCTCTCTGAGTAAACTAAACATCAAATAAAAGACTACTCACTGGTGATATAGTTGTGGTCATTTTTAGTCATTCCTCTTGCCGTTGTAGCGACATCTGGAAATCCTTTGGTTGTGCTAGAGATGACATCTAGAGATGTAAAGGTAACACCCAAATTCATCTTTACAGCCATCTCAATATGATCAAGTTGCATAAACTCGTAATTGAATTACAAATATTACTGGGAATTTTCAATGTGAATGGCCTCAGCATAGCCATGCTAAATCCGATATGGCTAAAGAGATGTTTCTACATTAAATTTAATTCTAAAGACCTAGGTACAGCAAGGCTGGGGTCTGGGGATCCGTCTAATGGCTACCAAATGACTGGGATTTCCTGGTGGTTTAGGGAACAGAATCTTTACACTTCTGAATAACAAAACAAGGACGGCTGAAGAAACACCACCCAAAATACAAGTAGCTTTGCAAAATTCTGCAGGTGAGGCCACAGAAAGATATGGTTTTAGCCATACTCTCACGGGTTAGTTAAGATTCAGCTAATTAAAATTCTGATTCTCCATGCTCAGAGACAGTGGATATCATCATAGATTCTTTTGCAACAAATAAACAAAACCATGTTGCCTCATCATTGCATGCCTGGTGGATTTTCAGGGGTCTAACTGGTCAAAATGTTGTCATATATATTTCATTTGAAGCAAACATAAAAGGCTATGTCCATCTTGCCCGAATGACTGAAGGATTTTTGCCCCTCTCGTTGTTATTTTCATGGGGAAGCTCTTTAAAGCACCTGCCTGCAACTGGCGTCTCATCGTCCTTGTTTTCTGTCTGGGCCTACTCTGTCTTCCCCAAGTACTCACCGTGTGGAGCCAAGCTTGCTTCTGAGGGGACTGAAGTGTGAATCTCACTGGGTATCAATGAATCTGCTAATGGAAGAAGATAGGCAGTCCATTTTTCTAGTCAGACTTTTTCCTTCATCATGAATTGTATCTAACAATTGGGAAGAGGTACAGTAACAAATACTTAATCTTATTCAGCAGCCTTGCAGCGGACATTAGATTATCCCACATACAGTGGGAGTTAAGGGGGTGCATATGGTTTTAACACTTCTGATTGGGAAAGTTTCGGTGAGGGTCACTGCTGAGGTCTGAAGGTGCCTCCTCTCAAGGATGTTGACAACATGAGAGCACTGAGAAGTGAGTCTTTAAGAGGTCAGTACATTACAGGAGCTTGTCTCTGATGAATGGTCTTAAGATCCTCATGAAAGAGGCTTCTTATAGTGTTCTCCTCAGCCTTTTAACCTTGTACTCTGTGAGGTCCTAGCAAGGTCTTCATCAAATGCCTGTATCTTGATCTTGATCCTCCTGTCTCTAGAGTTATAAGAAAAGACATGCATTTTCTTTATAAAATATGTGGTCTTATTCTGCCACAAGCCTGAAAGTCGATTGACTTAGTCTCTTAGGAATAAGAGTGGAAGAAAGCTCCTTTGACATGGATGGTAGGCCATCTTTGCTTTCATGCCCGCCCCACAGAGAAGCAGAAAGGTGGCAAGAGAATGAAAGCCCTCGTGTGTTATGGTCAAGTAAACAGATAAGTAAGACTTTGAAAACCTTGCTGGAACATTTGAGAAGGAAGAAAGGCATTTGTGCTTGTGGGTCCCTGGCATTTCTAGTCAACTGTGGACTGTGATCAGCCACAGCATCAGCAAACCTCCATGACCATGAGTCTTTTTAGTTCAGGTACAGAGTCTGTGCAACACCTGGAAGCAAGTTTTTGCCTTGAGTAAAGAGCAATGACTAATTAAAAATAAGTTGTGAACAGGCCAAAATTTTATTTGGACAAAATAAAGAAGGCAGCAGATTTTTCTGGATAAACTTATTTTTTGTTTTGTTTTGTTTTTGTTTTGCTTGATATAGTGTTGCTTTTATTGTCTTACTTTCACAGCCTGGCATCTTTTAGTATCCTTTCATAGTATGTTTGTGGGGAAGGGTAGAATATATTAATTTATGCTGAGGTAAAACTGGTTGAAAAACTACTATCTATTTAGGAGAAATCTGTGTTTAAAGCAAAAATATTTTACACTGCCTGTTTATTATCAGTGAACCAATGAAGAAAATTCTATGATTAGTAGCCAAAGAACACTAATAGGATTTGTCCTAAATGTGGGAGAGCATTTTTTTCTTGTTAGTACTGATTTTTTCTTAAATTAAAAAAAAATCAAGCTTAATACAATGCAAGGAGCATTGCCACAATGCACACAGATTATAAAAATATCAACACTTAAATTTTGCAAATTGATGATTTAGTAAAATTTTTTATACAACTGCAACATTTCTTAGAATAAAACATATTATATAATAAAATTAAAATCTAAAGCCACTTTGGAAAAGGCAGGAGCTAGTTTCACACATTTCATTTTGTTTGTTCTCCTTATGTGTCTCCGGGCCTCTCTGCATAAACCATGCTGGCCTCACATCTGTGGTGATCCTGTTGCCTCGCTGCCACCTCTCTCAAGTGCTGTCATTACAGGCATGTGCCCCCCATCTGACCTGTTCTCTTTTCTGCTTTAAGAGCTATTGTTTTACATGCAGCAAAAAATTTAGTGGCAGGGAGAGAAGTGAAGAGAAAGAAGCTCCCATTTGATTTGACGTGTCTTAAAAACTTTAAATGAGTAAAAGGAGGAATTTCAATACAAAAACATATTAGGAATCTTTTAGTAAGATGAGATGACTCTCTTTTTTCTTTGCTCACTTCTGTGTATATTTGTGTCTCTGTGTGGTGTGGGCACATGTTCATGTGGATGCATGCATACATGGGCACGCATACAGAGATTTGGGATTTCATTTCGAAGTCGCCCTGAATTACTCTTTCACCTTATTTACGGAGGTATGATCTCTCAATGTGGCTGGCCTAGTTAGCCAGCCTGTTGGGGTGGGGAACCCCTGTCTTTTCTTTCCCGAGTTGGAACTACAGTCAGGCTGCATACCCACGAGTATTTCCACGTATTCTGTGAGTCTGAACTAGGTCCTCCTGCTTGCAAGGCAATAACTTAATAACTGAGCCCTTTCTCCAGCCCCTATGAGTAGTTTTAATACTGATTGCTCCCAGGGGAGAGCCGTGTTCCTGAAGCATGCTTATGGATAGAATTCTCTGCAAGGTAGAATTGGTTACCTCCAATGACCTATTTTTCATTACCCAGCAGTTTTCCGAAAGCTCACTCAGTCTCCCCTTATAAATACCCCATTCTTAACGATCCCACTTTCTATCCTTCAATTACTCAGGGAGTCTCCAAGCAGAATGATGTCGAGTTCTTGGTTGGATGGAAATGGTCTGTGTTGAGGCCTCACCATGTTTGTTAAACACATAAGTTAATGTTCCTTGAAGTCTTTTGAGCATCTGTTTTCATCAAAATCTATAACAAGCATGGCTTTGACATGGGAACAGCAAACAACAGGGTAGCCAATAGCATTCTCTTGTACGAAACCAGTATCAGCCACAACTGTGAACACAGGGAGACTGTCGTAGAATCTCAAGTACATTCCTGTATCCTTCCTTGGGTGGCTCCTGGTTAAGTGTGCTCAGCAGGAAAGGGCTCTTCTTATCTACAGAGAGGGCTTAAAGATCCTAGTGTATCCCACTTTTCTCCTCTGGGTACAGTAACTTTTCCTGTTCACTTAAGTACTGTTGACGGTTGTCCAGGAAATGATAGCATATTAGCAACTGGTTCCCATTGCAGCTAAATCTACTTACAATTATATCAAAGTTCATTATTATCAGAATTTTTGAAGTTCTTTTTAACACACACACACACACACACACACACACACACACACACACACATATATGTTAAAGCACGTGGCGGTCCCTGCTGCCCACAAGGTTGTGTGGCAGAAGTCTGTGAGGAAGTTTGCTTCCCTGGGGCATCTAGCTGAAGAGGTTTGGTAGAAGTACCAGGCGATGACGGCCATTCTGGAGGCGAAACGGAAGGAGAAAGCCAAGATGCACTACTGGAGGAAGCAGCTCTTGAGGCTACAGACACAGGCAGAAAAGAACATGCGGAAGCAAGTCAGCAAGTTCACTGAGGTCCACAAGACTAAAGGACTCCTGGTGTGATCCCCAATAATGACAGTGCCTCCAAAATAAATAAACCAAAAAAAAAAAAACCTAAAACAATAAAAATCACCTTTTAAGGTCAGTAATGGCAATTATGAGGTCCAGGACATGAAGATGTCATGTATGGATGTACTTGGAAGAGTCAGAGGCTTCAGGCCTCTGGGGACCTGAAGTGCTTTTATTTTTGCTTGTTTACCTCAGCTTGGCTGGTTTCAATGTAGCCTTGGGCTTCATTGGACCAGGTAAATGGCAAGAGAAATCAGGAAGAAAGTAATTAAGATTCAATTTTCTTCTCCATGGCCTGATGACCCAAGCACTGAGATGAAAATGTCTTCCAAGATGTCATTAACCTCACCCACTGGGGTATGAAGATGTCCCAGCAGACTGTTCCCATTGCATGGGTGCTTAAAGTAAAATATACATTTTGGTTCCGGATTCTGGGGAATTTGGAGGCTGAAGTAGGATTAGATTCCAATGTCTTTAATACCAGCCTGGATCTCGTTAAGGTAATACACAAAATGACAGCAAAAGACTGAGTTCAAACATTCTTATAAATGAGGATAAATGCAACGCAATAAAAGTGGCAGAGGTATTTAAATATGCATGAGGCCCATAAAGCGAATCTCCCAAGACCATGTTCACAAGCAGGAAAAGACCCTGAAATGCAGAAATCCATCCATTATCATTTTTTTCTCCACCCGTAAGCACTTCATAAATCTATTGAAATAAGCATATTGAGGAGAGAGAAAAAAAAATTTCATTACCAACGCCTGTCCTGAATCTTGCCAAATGCGTCATCCAATATTGCATGTCGCACTACAGCCCAATTCAACTGGCAGCAATGTGTTTCAAAACAGTTGAGGAGTGAGCATTCAATTTCAGCTTGTTAGATTCTAATGGATTTCTGAGAATGATTATAAATAGTGCAACCCACGGCAGGGGATTTTTTTTTTGTTTCTTCTTTTAAACTTATGGAGAGAAAATGGTCACATCTTATTCACATGGTATTGAGAAGGTGAATCTTCACTGCCAGTGAGACATCCTTTGTTCGATGGATGTCAGAGTCCCTTCCTAGACCTTATTGTCTCTAAGACCATTTTAGGATAAGACCACTGATGAGATGTCCTTGGACAAATGAAGTTTTCAAATGGTAAAGAACAGAAAATAGGGAAGATCATAATAGTTCATTTCATTATGAACTGTATCAAAGAGACTAAGAATGCAATACTAGATGTGACAGCATTGTATAAACAGTAAGGCAAGACTAAGTGGCGTGGGAATCTTTGATTCCTAGTTTCTGAGCTAGAAACTGCTTTGGATAACTGGAAAACTCCTACTTTTCCACTTCCCCCAACCCTGCCCACACTAAAATCTCTAAACAAAGGAAAGGAACCAAAAGCTCAGTTCCAACTTTCTGGCAGCCAGTCCAGCCCAGTTTCCTGATATGACCAGCCCGCCCAAGTTCCTGCCCACGGGCTTAGCCTTTGGCCATACTTGAGGGCAGTCCCAGCTGCTGGCTAGCACCCCATCATCCTTCACCTAAGGTCTCCTAGGTGAGACTTCTCTGGCCTGTTCCCTGAAACCAGTGAATGTACCTGGGAGTTGCTTTGTTTTGAACAAGTATGTTGTTACACTTGTAATTTGGCTTGATCTGGTTTACTGAATCAGCAGCGAAACCTATTATCTGGCTAGAAACGTATGAATAACCTCTCTGCCCTACCTCATGTTGATGTATTCATGCCAAGAATATTTCCAGTCTTTTCCCTTCCTCCTTTCCTCCTCTTCTTCCTTTTTTCTTCTGTCTGTGCTCCTA